TTCCCTCTCTCTCACTCTCTCTCAATCCTTGGAATGAATTTGAAGATTTTATGGCCGTCTCCTTTGACGCTGCTGTGAGAAAGCAGTTTTCTTATATGAGGGCGAATATAAGGCTGCGTAGTTATATTGCCTTGTACATTAATGATTAGAAGATGTTTACACACACACACACACACACACACACACACACACACACAGATGTCCTTGGAATTTTAGGACAGTTTACTCCTGTGCTGCAACAATAAAGTACCTGGTCCTTTTATTTTGTTTTGTTGCTGCTTTCATTAGCATTAAGTTAGCATCCGTTCTTCTGGTTACGGTGGCACATGTTTTTTTTAAGGTACCCCGAGGGTTGTTCTTCACATTTTTAAAAAACAAACCATTAGCTAATATTAGCTAGACTAGCCCAAACTGTGGTTTTTACATCAACATCTGTCAAGACTTCTTCAGACAGAACATGGCTGTACTTGGAGTACACTTGATGTTGCCATTATCGTAAGGGAAGTACATATTAAATTATATATTAAAAGACTTAAAATATAATGTCATATATTTTAACTCTAATAGAATAGTCTAGTATTGATAACCAATGTACTCAAAATATGTTGATTACATTACAGGGCTCTTGTCTTATATTAATATATTAAAAGGTTTATCTAATTACATTTAGTAAACTGTGCATATTATATTTTATTGCGCCGTTGTTGTAACTATTGCCCTGAATTCGTTTCAGTTCTACTGTATTTCACTGACTGTGTGTTTTCCTAAGTGTCTTCTAAGTGCAATAGTAAAAGTCCGATGAATATCTGCTCTACATGATCTGCTCCTAATGACAGTTAGTGTTGCATTTCTTCCCTAGTTTCTACCCATTAAAAGGTGCTTGTACTTTTCAGATAAAGGACATTGCAACTTGTTAGGTATAAAAAATGTCCTGCAGTACTTTTTTTTTTTTAGAAAATTGAACTGTGATAACCCTCTCAGCTGTAGCAGCCAGAGTAAAACCATTCTCTAAATGTTCTATTTTTCTGTTGAAATAGAGTTTGTATTGTCAATAGAACTCAACTTTCAGTAGGTTATAATGAGTCTGCTTTTACAGAGTCTCTACTGAGGATCCTCATCTCTAATCTCTAACTTTTAATGCGGAAAAGACAGAGAAAAAAGAAAGAAGCGCTGTTTTTGCAGCAACCATTTTATCCACTTTTTATTGTGTATTTTTTACAAGTATGATCAGGTTCTTTTATGTGTTTGACTTCAGAGAGCACATCAAACAGTTCTTATGACTAGGCTCAGTCTGCCACTGAAACGTTGTCACCAAGCCCGTTTAAGCAGAAAGACCAAGCTCTGTGAAGCAGCTCACCGTCACTTTCCTGTTGCCTCATTCACAGCCAAACAAGACATGCTTTTGTGTCCACTTACCTTAGTTACGTTAGGATGACACTGAGCAGAACACAGTCAGAGTCTCTGATGCAAAAGGCTGAAACAATTATGAATGTAGACTTAATAAAACATTACTCAGCCTCCGTTCCTTTATTTTCAGTCCAAGGTAAGTTGGACTTCGTAAAACTAAAACATTTTTTTTATCACTAATTCTTTTGTCATTCACCGTTTGCTAATATATTTACTGTATTTGAAACAGGATGGAAAAATGTATAAGTCTTCAAGGTTACGTAGGACATAAAGACAAGATAAAGTAGCAGGGACTATATATGTATATACATGTATGTGTATATGTATATATTTATATGTAAATATATAACATGGGATTCAAATTTAAGAACTCTTTTTTCACCGTAGGGTTAACAAGTTTTAGTTTGGTAACTGTTTCAGGATCTAAAAAAGGTTCAACTTTCTCTGAAGTACAATGAGTGATATCAACTCATGTATAAAATATTTGTTTAAGGATATAGCCAGAACTTAAAAAAGGTCTTGTTTGTATTTAACACTTAGTCTTTCCTAACAATAATGCTGTTTTTAAAGGAAGTGTTAAGCAGTTGTCCAGATTTCTCTTCGTGATGTTAAGTCTTCACCATAAATCAAAATGTGTAACGATGCTGTGTAATCAAAAACACCTTCAGGATGAGTTATCTGTGTGCTTCCTATGTAATTTATAGAGACCATCATATAAAAAGTGACAGATCTACCGCTACAACAAATCATTACAACATATCAACCAGCTGAAGTTAGCATTATCTCTCCTGCTACAGGCTGATTCATGACATACTGTAAATTAACTAAAGGCGTGATGTAGAGATTACGTAATTTAGGTTCAATGCATGTGGCCTTTGTAATGTGTCACCAAATTTGCAGTGACAGAAACCTACCCTGTACTAACAGAGCTGCTGCAGATCAGGTCATTTTTATTTTTTAAACCATTATAAAATACAAAAAGACAAAGGTAAGATTTTAGTGTTTTAAATAATTCTAGTTTCTTACTCGTCCAGTTTAACGTGATGCTAATTTTGTGTGAACAAGGAGCGAAAATGGCTTAACACCTACTGCAGTGCCTTCATTACAAGGTAATGAAGGTAAAACAAGGGTTGTGACACATGCTATTATAGGATAGCAGTTAAGATATATATATATATATATATATAGATAGATAGATAGATAGATACTCAACTTGAGTCTTGACCTCTGTCATGAAAGCTCTCATGAAAGCAATATTTTTGTATACTAAAGCAATTTGATGTTTCAAATATGTTTTTTAGACATTCTCCAATAGTTTTCACTAAAGTAAAAGTAAAAAGTTTGAGGACTTTGAAAGAAACCTTTGAGTAGACAGCAACTAAACTGGATTCAATTATATAGTAAAACTGATGCTGCACCCTCACCACTGCTCAGGTTAAAGTGTTCTGACAAAGTCACAAAGCACAGTTTTGTGTTATAATTCATTATGGATTAGCTAATCTAGCTAACTTTGCACATTGCTTTTTAACCATTTGGATCAAGCCCTACGATGCAGACCAGAAGCAGGGACTTAACATATAATAATTATATATATATATATAATAAATATATATATTATATATATATATATTATATAAATAATTATATAATTATATAATTTTATATATATATATACTTAATGCTCTGTTATGCTGCCCTCCAGCCATTATTGCCAGGTACCCCTGAAATAGAAGCATTGCCATAACAATAACAGAGGGTTTCAATACAAATAACAGTTGGTGGATCATGTTGTACAGTACAAAAACATGCAAAATGTTCTTTGCACTGAGTATTTTTTTTTCTAGAGGTGTGTTTCAGTGTCTACTAAATCTTCTGTTTATATTTTAAAACAACATTACACAGTAAATCTCCCTTAAATGACCGTGAACTTAACACAAGTAACTAATGCTCTCTATGTCTAAAGTATTTATTGATTCTTTTTGTTTGGCTGCCACAAGGGATCATCTGCTTTCATCTCTGCCTGTCGCCTGCCTCCTGTGCTGTTACATTCACCCAGACTTCTCATATACTAAAGGCATCACATGTGCACGAGTGACGACACGCTCTTACAACCACACGACAGTGAAAAATGACTAGTAAACATCACCTTCACTGTTTTTGTTTTGAAGAACATGAGGCAATGACAGTTCAACGCAAGTTGGGTACAAGACTGTCCGACCTGAAGAGTGGTTCACTGACTCTGTCGACAGCAGCTCACCTGTGGTGCTGGATTAAGAGTTGCATTTGAATTGTTATTGTGTTTAAATCCATGTGACCCATGTCTTGTTTAATGCACAGTCTCACTGTTGGCGAGTCTAGATACAGTATATGTTCCTTCGGTTATATACTATATAAATGTTTTTGGTTCTTGGGGTGGAGGGAGGAGGGGGTTGGCTTTAAAAATATTTTCTAGCTCAAATATTTAACAAAGAGGATTTTCCGCCTCTTAAACTCTACTTTTTTCCTCATTTCCTTCTAAACATGACTGTGTCCTAACGTCTCACTGCCTCTGTGCTGCCCATGTGCCCTGCTACTCTTGATTCTTCTAAATAATATTCATTATCAACATTCCGGTCAACACCATTATAAGTGACAGCTGATGAGCACATATTATTTTGTCTGTAGATGGATCCCAGTGCCAGGCAGGCCACTCAGCTTCACCAAAGCACCGCACAGTGATATCATTTTCGACAGTCAGGCCAATTAAAACTCAGGCCTCTAGGAATTGTCCAACTGCTCTTTTGTGTCTGTCTGGGCCTCGCCACCTGCAGCTATGCCTTCTGTCTTTTTGAAGGAGCCACAGTTTGCTCACTATGCACTGTAGCAGTTCTCACTACTATCACACCCCGAAACTCTCAAGGTTCCCCTTTACCTGCTCCCTACTCTCACTACAGATTACAATGTCATCTGCAAACATCATCGTACAATTGTAAGTCACCTTAAAAAATAAAAAGGGCATCAGAGCTGATATCTAATGAAACCCCACCCATACCTCAGACCCACGTGTTACTCTGACTACAGATCTACCCACAGTCTTACTGACCTAAACCACCCTCACATGCTTCTCTGCCTGTCCTGACTATCTCGGTCTACTTCAGCTCCACCAGAGAAAAAATTAAATTCTTACTTTCAATCAACAACCTGAGTTACTGTGTAAGCTCTTCTGACTTTCTCAGAACTTCTCTACCAGCATTTAAACATCAACACAGCTCCATGGTGAACTCGTGATTAGGATTTGGCATTCTTACTGCCACGGCCTGGGTTTGATTCCCAGTTACAGAACATTCTTTTAAGTATTCCTAAAGTGTGGGATCACTACAGTTTTTTTAAACATTTATTTTGAAAAAGAAAATACGAATCATTTTTATA